TGTTTCTTTGTTGAAAGGCAGGGGAGCAGAGTGGCCGGAAATATTCATTAGAATCCATTCCATTATTTAATTGTTTAATAAATTTGTTTCCTTTATCCAGGAAATATATTTTGATGAATTTTATTTTATTTTTTTAAACAAAATACAGTTCAAACAAACCACAAGTAGATACCAGTTGGCCAACTAATTAGTCAGTAAGAAATGTGCTTACTAGCATACAATATAGAATATCTTCATAAATGTACATTAAGCTTATTTGCTTTATCATTGCTTGTATTTGCATACATGTAGCATTTCCATATGGCTAGCAGAAGGAAACATATTTACTAACTTGAATATTATCTAGTTGCAAACGAATAGGTAAGATAGACAGAGCATCTTTCTTTGGGGAAAAAAAAATGCAAAGTAAAAAAGTATAACAAGAATGAAACTCACTATGTAAATCAGATTCAGAACAATTAAAATTGTTGGTTTAAATAATTTTAATTTCTATCAAACCAATATTGCTGTTTGTCACCAGCAAATACATTCATTTCAATTTGTACCTTATGTACTGCTAAGGTTGTTAAACATCAATAAATTTTAAAATGTATTTCAGGAACACAGCTTGCTTTAGTGGAGTAGTTGTGGAATAGGAAATGAGTATAAGGGACGTGACTAGTACTCAAGCATATTGTGGGGAAAAGAAAGCAAAGGCAAAGCAGAAGGATCCAAGTGATGGATTCTAGAAATTGTGTGAAATGAATAGAAGAGTATTAAAAATCATCAAGTGGTGTATTCATATGAAGAACTGCATTATGTGTTGTTCTTTATTCTGCCATTTAAAGCACAGTTTATGCTGTTTTCTGAAAGACAGTGGTCTTTGAAGAGGCTTTTAAGAAAGATTATTACTTCAGGGCTCAAATACCATGGTCACAGAAAAAGAATAAGAGGTAGATATCTCACTGTTAAAATTGATAAGAATTTGAATAGAAGTAGATGTAGAGAAGTCAGACACTGTAAGATACGGAGCAAATTTAAGATTAGAATCATAGAATCATTTAGGTTGGAAAAGACCTCTAAGATCATCCACTCCAAGTGTTAACCTAGCACTGCCAAGTCCATCACTAAACTGTGTCCCTAAGTGCCACATCTATGTGTTTAGATTATTAGAGTGCAAGGAAAGTTAAAAAGGAGAAGTGCAATTTGAAATAATACTGAATTAAAATGCATTTTTATTGTGAGATTGTAGCCACAAGAGAAAAACTTGCAGGCTTTATGAGACAGTCTGCAGTGGGCTTGGACAGTAAAACCATTGCTGTGCATAAAGTAATGTCTGAAACTAGGGCCAGATTCAAAGTCAGACTCCAAGGGCAGTAGTTGTAAAAAGTTTCTGAATTGTTCTTGGAAATTTTGTAAAAGTGGCTTTACTTAATGATAGAGGGTTTTTTTTTTATGTGAGTGGCTTGAGAATTATTTTATTTCCAGCACCATAAAAGTGCTTATTTCCCTACTGCAAGTTTTTACTCTACTTATTGAGTGCAAGGACTTTAAAGGAATTGTTCTTCTTTCTGTGATAACTAGAAATTATTTCTAAAGTATTTAACTGTTCTTGATATCCTTTATATTATACTTTTAAAATGGCCAAACCTTTTGTATTTGTTGCATTGTATATTCATTACCTTGTTCAGTTTCATACACATTGTCATAGCAGTTACTTCTAAGTATTTGAAAACTTCTCTTATAGGCTTTTGTTTTTGAGTGGGTTATAATGTTATGATGAGTTGATGCTGTCTGGCAGCTGAGCCCCCACCCTGTCACTCTCACTTCTCACCAGTGAGATGGGGGAGAGAATCAGGAGGAATGAACTGCTTGCCCAACCCCAGCACACTTGCTGGGGCAGCAAAGTGAGAAACAGAAGGATTTAATGCTATGTGAGCTCTGCTCAGCAATAGCTGACACACTGGTGTGTAATCAAAACTGTTTTGGTCAGATGTCTAAAACACAGCAGCATACAGTCTGCTCTGAAGAAAGTTAGCTCCATCCCAGGCAGACCCAATACAAATGTGTAAATACAGTTCTGAATCACTTGTGCACTCATCCCAATGCCTGCTGCACCCCCTAAATGCAATATGAGTTTCAGGATCCTTGAAGTATTGAACCTGTTTCTCTATTCATCCTATTGCATGGGTCCAGCAGAATAATGAGACCTTCACCTGATCGACCAGGACTCTTCCTGAGAGCAAGCAGCTTTTTGGTCCTGTGGTTTATCAGCCAAGCCAATACTTGGGAAAGTTTTGTAGGCAATTCATATGTTCCTATTGGCCCCTTTTAGCACACAATCTGCTCTTTTTCGCTCATCAGCCTTTTCTTCTAGTAAGTATTTCTCTGTTCATACCTAGGGAGTCAATTCATTCCATAAAGAGTTTTTATGATGATGTGATGTGAGCTACATAGGACCCTTGTTCCTGTAAAGAGCTACCACTCCACTTCCCATTTATGTTTCTAGACTAATGATTTTTCTCATAATTTCTGAACTGCTGGAAGGGGAATACTATTCCACTGGAGAGGGCACTACCCAGAGTTTGGGAGTTTGTTCTACATACCAGCCATTTATTTTTGCTAAGTCTCATGGTGCCCTGATACCAGTTTTGTAATTAGAGAGAATATTTTCTATGAAGTTCTTTTCATTTTCCTTTTGCCTATTCAAGAAGTTTTCACTTATGAGTAGGGACCAAAGCCTAATATTTTGTTCTGGCTTTTCAAATGCATATTATCATTCTGCAATGTTCATATCAATTTGGAAAAGCATATAGGTCATTTTTCTGAAGACTAAAAAATACCCTCCAGCAGGCAAAGATAATCCATGGCTAACACAACAAGCAGAGATTAATATATGAGCTGCACACCTGAAAAAAAGAGATACTGAAATCCATCTGAAATGTTTTGGAAAGTTAAAACTCAACACCAGCTCTTGTTTGACAAATAAGTATTTAAGAGAAACATTACTATATAGTGAGAAAATTCTTTGTGAGTCTTCAATACCTATGGGTTTTTTTAAAAGTAAAAATGGTTAAGAACTACTACAACCAGCAATTTTCATTTCTGGCCTTTCTTTTTAAGTGGCTGGAGATATATATATGAATATATATATTACATGGATCAATTCAAATTACAGGTTCCCTTCTCCCAGGGACTGAAACATTTGCTCAGGTTGTGTAGTACTCACTCTTTGTAAATGGATTTGCAAGGCCACAAATGTGAAACACAGGCAGCTACAAGGATTCAAGAATCTTTAACAAAACACCACAGGATGCTTAAATCCACACTGATAAATATAAATACTAGGCATTGCTGTTTTATTGTACCGTCTGTTATAACATTTTTCATCTAATAATACAGTTCTATTGATGTTATTGGTTTTAACTATTTTCCCCACATGCTGAACTCACACTAATCAACAGTACACATGGTGGCAATATTTTGCATACATCCTTCTAATTTTTTGTACAGTGAAAAAGGATCAAATAATATATTTTTAAAAGGTACTGGCATAAAGTACAAGATCTTTCTAGTATTGCCATAGTATTATTAGAGTGAATATGGTGTGCCTGGTTAAACATTTGCATGCCCTAATAAATTGTTCATTACTTTTTATTGTCTGTCTCGCAGACATTTTATTTCACAACACATCTGGACTGAGTATGTCAGCTTTACATTCCACCCGGTACTTGATTAGATACTTTTATTTGAGAAATACTTCTCACAAGCAATGAGATCAGTGTGCTTTGTGGAACATACTGTTCTGTAATGTGTAGCACATCATAGCTACTACTGTTGTATTTGTAACAGATCGGGTGTGTCAGTAGCGACTGACATCAAACCTAGATTATAGCCCTGCTTTTGAATAAGTTGAAACTGACAGCCCACACAAGATCCTGGTTAACACAGGATCACAAGCATGCAATGAGAAATTCACTGAACTCTGACTTACCATCAACTTATATTTAAACAAGAAGTTGAATTTCTGGAAGAATATTTAAAATGCAGAGATATTTTACTGCTTTAAGAAAAAAGTATTCCATATCCTCTAAATAATCTATTTTAAAGTCTGATAAATTGTATTTTCCAGCCACTTGCTGGAAAATCTCTTTCCTTTTCCTTTCTCTTTCTTATTTGTATGCAAACAGCATTTGTTTACTCAATTTCACAGAAAATACCTATTCAGCAACTTCCAGTTGAACACTCACTAAACGCAGGTAAAACTAGGAAGCAATTATCCTATATTTGAGATGGAACTGAAGGGAACAAAGACAAAACATTCTAAAGAAAAACAAATGTCATAACCTGTGTACTGCAATCCTGTCTTCACATGCTTTATTAAATGACTAAGACAAAATAGAGAGAAATATATGTCCTTCTTTTTAAGCTGACTTTTAGGTCAAACCACAGACCTATATTTCTAGTATTACATTTTTTTAGACATTTAATTTCCCTACTGCATGAGTGAACTGCCTGTCAGCCAGACAGCCTTGGTTTCTCTTCATCATTCAGGAACTAAAAATGGCTTCTTTCACAGATACAGGTATGAGACCAATGCTTGGTTACCTAGTGCAACATATCTCTACGGGTAACAAAGTGAATGTGCCCCTGCTTTTATGCCTTGCCTGTGGCAGAGTTATAGGAAAACAAGCTTCCCTAAGGCATGTAGGATAAGAGCTATGGGGTCATCCCCTCACACTTTCTGAAGGAGCCATCATTATCTCCGGTTTTCCATCTCCTTGACAGAAGTAACAGCAGTAACTCTGGTTTACAAGCACTGTGTTTCTCAAACTAATTATCTCAATATTTATATCCATTGCAGGAGTGGCCAGAGCTTTTGTTATTGATCTTTTTGTTGACAAGATCAAATGTTGCTTTCATTGGTGAGAAGCCTTTAGGTAGTACTGACCAATCAGTATGTATTTTACTTCATCTACCCAGATGATGAGTATTGTATTTTTCATGCTAGTATCTAGTGGTTTTTTTTAAATTTGAAGAAAAACAAAAGAACAATGGCGAGACCTACCTCTGACCTGTTGGATTTCTAAGTTCTAGTTTTTGTTATCCATTTGTCTAAAAGAAATAAAATATTCTGAAGTTGTTGATGTTCTAAATAGGTAAGAATTTTAAAACAATGTGTTTTTTCTATCCTTGGCATTTCTTCGAGGACTTTACAGTGAGCTCTTGTTTTGAAAGAAATAACAGAGTTAACAATGAAAAGAGTAATAAAAATAAGGCAGAGAAAGCAGAATAATTTAGGATGAAGTACAGTAACATTTATTTAAGGTTTACCCTGTTCTAAAGCATGTTAATGTTTTCTATGTAGAATCTTCTGTGCCAACCCAGCCAGAAATGGTCGTGTATGCTGGCTTTATACCACTATATTTGTTTGAAGAGGATATTTTTTCATTAAGAAAAATGGTAAGATTCTATACTCTCAGGACAGGAAAGCATTACATATTTTATTATCAAGATGTTTCATTTTATAGCAATCACATTGTAACAAAAATAATAAAATTAATATAGTGAAATTGTTGCCACATAATGACTATCAGTTAAAATTTTTATTTCAATACTTCTGTATTCTGATCATGCATTTTCCTGCCACAGTCATGCTCATTTTTTCAGTTTTACCCCACTTTCCTCTGGATCCCAGAAGCTGAAGTCTCAATGATTAAATCTCCATGTAGTAACTCACACTCTACAGAAAGTTATTTATAATGCCAGAGAAGGCTTTCTTGAGTTGATTATTAATTAGACTTAATTTTTTGAAAATTTAAATCATATTTATCATAATTAGAACATCAAAATTTAAGCTGCCTTCTCATAAAACTGATAGGCTTCATAAAATAACTTCCCGAAATGGTTTGCAAGTGTTATACTTTACTGCTCTTAATTCTTGCAGTATTTTCTTTTTTAAAATTGTGCTATGTGTTTTATGCTGTTTTGAAGACTAGCTTGTTCTCTGCGATTTTATTTTAATTTATTTTACTTTAAGATCTCAGACAATACTGTCTCCCTGCTAATAAGTAATACTAGTCATCAAAAAGCAAACTGGAAACAGTGACATAGGATTATATCTTTCCTGCCTCCTAGGACCTTGAGTCTTAAACTTGGTTTCTGTCTGTTTGGGTACAGAGATTACTGAAAAAGAGGCACAGCTGGTCAAATAGGATGAGGCAGCTGAATCTATATATCTAAAATGGTATTTTAGTAAAGACTGATAGGAAAAATTGAAGATGACAGAAATTAAATATAAAAGTGTAGTGGATTTCTTACAGGCCTCAGTTTAAAAAGCCCATTTTCAAGCTTTCTTTGGGAGCTGAGAAGTGCTACATAATAATTAAAGTTTGGAAGAATGGATTCATTGTTTCGGATAAGAGTTGCTCCTTAAATATAGAGGAAATTTTGTCATTGACTGCAATTGTGCCAGAATTTTCCTGCAGAACTTTTTTCAGTATCCTTTTTAGCTATGCTTTCTAGTGTGTACATCCTTGGATTGATCTGGCTTGAATTTAGTTGTTTTAATTGTGATCAAATAAAATGAAAAAACTCAGTAGTTGTGTCATTCAAATGTGTTTCCTACTGAGCAGCTGACAAGTTCTCCTTTATGGCACCTAACTGGTCATCTTCAAAATCCTTTATAATCTTGAAGGTTTTAACTTGCATCTTTAAATTGCTTGAATATGTGTATACCCAGTCATCACTCCTGTAATATATCTTTATAAATTTGGAGGTCAAATGAGGCTGATATATTGCTCATGTACCTTAATGTGTTTAATTTGATCCTCTCCCTTTAAATAACCTCAAATTTTTCTTTTCTGCAACCTTTTCTGCAGTTTGTAATTATAGAACCTCAGGAACATTTGACAATGAGCAGGATCAGTCAGAGACTTGCTGATAAACATGTTAAAAAATAAGTTATGGGTGATTATTTAGCAAGCAAAAGAAGGTGTATTTTTAAAATAAAAAGGCTGTACAAATCTTGTAAGAGAACTTTCAGTAACGAAAATTGTCAAATACTGGAACATTATTATTTTAATGGGAAGAGCACCACTCAATGTCCACATCTAAAATTGCTCTTAAGTCTATTGCTAAGGACTTTGGTATATGAGTCAACTGTACTGCCTTTAATGTGTTTTCTAAATCATCCAGCAGAGAAAATGTGCAACTTTAATGACGTATTTGACCAGTTGCTTTTAAAATTCTCTGCTTTATAAATTCAGCATGAAGTAAGGACTTTTTCCTCAGAAAAAATTATTTTTAAATATGTTTCTTTAAAACAAAATGTTGTCACTGTTGTTTTCTTACATCTTCATTTTGCTTCACTTACATGTTTTCTGTAGCACCTAAAAGAATATGGTTATATAACGTAATAGAAAGAAATGAAATATCTCTTATGAAAAGTAAAATATATGTAAACACTTCTAAGTATTCAATTATACTTCTGCTGAATATCAAATCCTAATTAGAATATTTTGGCTAACCTTGTCACGTGAATGATTTTTGTTTCATTTGTTATCCAAGCTGTTAGATGCATTTGTGTACATACTGATAGAGAAAGAGATGAGAAATGAGAGCTGACCCCAGTCGGATTATCTTTCCATGTTTCATAGTCTGATTCTTCAGAGAAGCTGAGGCACTATGGGCTTTCCCACACATATAGCCATCCTGTCCTGATTATTAAGACTAGGTCCTGTCCTCTGGTAGCACCGCCAGAACTGCCACCAGTTCCTCGTTGGAAACTTTTCCGTCAGAAAAAAGAAACTGTTGTGTCATCTGAACCTCAAGGTTTGTCTACTGAAACATCCACAATTAATTTCTAATTACATTTTAATTATTATAAACTTTTCCAGAGCCATAGTTGTCATCCGCTGGCTTAATTTCAGTAGAGATTATATCCCTAGGGATTACTCT